GTAAAGGTAGACGTTTTGTAGCAAGGAAGGGAGTGATTAACTCTCCAGTCTAGGAGCGGAGGTCTCTGGGACCATCAACGGAGAAGTGCCGAGAGCGGAAACTTACCTAGAGAAGCAGCGAGGCCCCAGATGGAGACAGAGACGATGACGTGGAGTGATGAAGCGGCTAGGGAATTTGGATCCAGAGAGGGAGAGGGACTGTGTGCTGAAGAATAGGGGTGGGGGGGCATGTAGGGGGCGGGTCTATAGGGTATACCATTTGGTCGATTGATGATGCATGGAGGGGATTGGAACCATGGCAATGAAACGATGTACGGTGGAATGAATGTAAAACTAAAGTTCTCCCATGTAAAATATCATATAATTCACAATAAAACATGGAAAAAAATTAATCAAATATACAATAAAAATGTATTGATAATTACTGGCGATTGGAACGAAAGGTTGGAAACGAAGAGGAAGGCTCAGTAGTTGAGATATATGGCCTTGGTGATCGAAACGATGCTGGAGGTCTCATGATAGAATTTTGTAAGACCAATGAATTCTTCATTGCAAATACGATTTTTAAACAACATAAAAGGCACAAGTACCTCACCAGATGGAATACACAGAAATCAAATCGACTACTTCTGTGGAAATAAAAGGCGGAAAAGCTCCATGTCATTTGTCAAAACAAGGCCAGGGGCAGACTGTGCAACATACCATCAATTGCTCATATGTAAATTCAGGCAGAAGCTGAAGAAAATTAAAACAAGTCCATGAGTGTCAAAATATGGCCTTGAATACATCCCCCCTGAATTTAGAGATCACCTGAAGAACAGATTTGATGCATTAGACACTAAAGACCGAAGACTAGAAGAGTTGTGGGATGACGTCAAGAACATCATACAGGAAGAAATCAAAATGTGTGTTGCTGACTATGCAAAGACATTAAACGGAATGAATCATAGCAAATTATAAATAACATTATGAAGAATGGGAATTCCAGAACCCATAATTGTGCTCATGCAGAACCTATACATAGATCAAGAAGCAGTTGTTCAAACAGTTTAAAATCTGGAAAAGTGTGTGTCAGGGTTGCATCCTTTCATCATACTTATCCAATCTGTATGCTAATCAAATAATACAATAAACTGGACTATATGAAAAAGAACATGACATCAGGATTCAAGAAAGAGTCATTAATAGCTGTACAGATGACACAGCTTGCTGAAAGTGAAGAGGACTTGAAGCACTTACTAATGAAGAGCAAAAACTATAACCTCCCATATGGATTATACCTAAAAATCAAGAAGGCAAAAATCCTCACAACTGCACCAATAAGCAACATCTGGACAATGAGTAATGAAGACAGGAGAATTGCTGCATTTGACTTATGATGTTGGAAAATAATATTTAATATATTAAGGAGCTCTGGTAGCGTAGTGGTTACGAATCAGGCTGCGAACCGCAAGGTCAGAAGTTCGAAACTACCAGCTGCTCCACGGGAGAAAGATGAGGCATTCTGCTCCCATAAAGATTTACAGTCTCGGAAACCCTGTCGCTATGGGTCGAAAGCGACTTGATAACACTTAACAACAACAATTTAATATATTATATTCTGGACTGCCAGAAGAACGAACAAGTTTGTGTTGGAAGAAGTAGTCAGAATTCTCCGGAGAAGTGAAACTTTCTCTCATGTACTTTGAACCTGTCATCAGGAGCTACGGGTCATAGACTGAATTGCGTGTCCCCCCCCCCCCCCCCCACTGCCCAAATTCATGCATCAGTTTGGCTGGGCCATGATTCCCAGTGCTTTGGCAGTTACATGATAAATCCCCCTTGATTTGATCTGATGTGGTAAACCAGATGGTGCAGGACCCGAAAGTGTTTCATCCTGTTATACACAGGATCACTATAAACTGGAGCTTACATAATGGCACCAAACACAACAACATCATATCCAAACACAACTCTTGATTTTTGGTTCTCAAATGTTTTATATCAAAGTCATCAGAGGATTTCATTAAAAATAAAGAGTCCAACCTCCATAAATTATGATTCAGTAGTATTTGTGATACTGGTAGTCAGCTACCTACACTTTGAGAAACATTTCTTTAGAGGAATACTTAAAAGTATGCCTATTAATAGTATACACCCAGTGAAATAACCCCAATTTGTTTTCTTTCATATAAATCTCTCAGATAATTTTTGGAAAGAAATGTCTAGAGGTCTTCTCAATTTTATAGAATGTGTTTTTGGAACACATAAAAAGTATATAGTCCTAAACATCTCTTACCAAAATGATCTTCATGTTGTTGCCAAGCACAGTTTAAAGACTTGGAGGTTGTGTGGTGCCAACGGATGGCTAATGGAAATAAACTTTTGGAGTTGAATTGTTGAAGGGCCCAACATATGACTTGTCCCTTCAGCACGTTCTGGAGTCTGCTTTGTAAATGAAACAATCTGTGGCACCACATCCTAGAAAATTCAAGAAGAGAGTTAAAACCATATAAAATAACTTTCATAATACTATAGGAATAATCATTGCATCTCACATAACTATGAAAAATAACATCTAATTATTTCAACTGTTGTTGTTGTTAAGTGCCATTGAGTTGGTTCCAACCCATAGAGACCCTATTTACAATAGAACGAAACACTACCCAGTCCTGTGTCAATCTCACGATCATTGTTACACTTAAGCCCATTTCTGTTGCCACTGTGGTCAGCCCCTCTAATTGGGGGTCTTCCTCTTTTTCACTGACTCTCCACTTTAGCAAGCATGAGCTCCTTCTCCAGGGACTGGTCCCTCCTGGTAATATGTCCGAAGTATGAGAGATGAAGTCTGGTCATCCTGGCTACTAAGGAGCATTCTGGCTGCACTTCCAACACAGATTTGTTTGTTCTTCTGACAGTTCATGGTACCTTTAATATTTTCACCAACACCTTAACTCAAATACATCAGTTCTTCTAAAGTCTTCCATATTCATTGTCCAAATTTCACATGCATATGAGTTATACTCCAACTACAAAGGATTAATCTATGGACATACTTTAAACAGCTAAGCATAAGTGGTTTATAAGCATTGCTTTTACTTTCTCATCAGACACTCCAATTTTATGTATTGCAATCTGTCTTCTGTCCCACTACCAACTGAAGTGGCTCTTCAAAAAATTCATGACTTTTTAACCTTCAAATAAAACATAATGATTGTTTTTCAGGTCTCATCCTTTTTAAGTCTCTTTGCTTGTGAGACTGCTTACCAAACACTTCCATCTTGGCTCTTTAACTCCACTGATTGTGTGTGACTGTGAACAAGTTACTTAAGTCCTCAGTGAAATAATAATAATAAGAGTAATCAGTATCTTGTGGGGTTAGTGTGAGTACTAAGGTACTTAGAACTGTGCCTGGCCCATAGCGAGCCATGTATAAGTGTTATCTATTATACCATCATCATTATTATGATGATTATCATGACTGATAAGCTGTCTGTTAGGAAGAGTGCCCTTGATAAAGTTGCTTGGAGTTAGTGAGTTCCTGAGTGGCATGGTTTCAGAAAAATTAATGACGCAATTCCTTTTGCATAACACTTTATTAGAAGTTAACTTGCTCTGTGGAAAAAGAGGGAGAAAGCCATGAAACTGCAAGAGAGGCTGTGTGATGCTTGATGTGAACCTTCTCAAAGAGCCCTTAAGTATGCAGCAAAGTCATTAAACCATAAATTGGTTTTGTGTGTATTTGTTTATGTGTATTTGCATGGTGAGTAAACTGATGAAGAAACTGAATTTCATGTTGATGTAGAATGAATCAAATTGTATGTACAATGGCTGTATCTAGAGACATAATAGAATTTGTTGATTCTATTATATGTTATGAAATAACACATATGAAATTAAAGAGCAAATGTCAGATTTGTTGAAATTGTGTTGAGTGGGTGGACGGAGGAAAGTACATATGAGGATAAGTAAAAAAAACATTGCTTATAGGGTTCTATTTCATACATTTTTGTTGTCAGGTGCCATCGAGTCGGAACCGACTCATAGCGACCCCATGTACAGCAGAACGAAACTATGTCCGATCCTGGGCCAACCTCACTACCGCTGCCACCCTTGACACCATCAATGATGCCACCTGACCAATCCATCTTGTTGGGGGTCTTCCTCTTTTTTCTGTCCCTCCATCTCACCCAGCATGACATCCTTCTCCAGCGACTGTTCCCTCCTGACAATATATCCAAAGTATGAGAGACGAATTTTAGCCATCTTGGCCTCCAAGGAGCACTCTGGCTGCACTTCTTCCCAAACAGATCTATTGGGTTTATTCATACATACATGAGTGTATTCCAAACAATGTTTTAGCATGTCTCTTATGATCAGTGAATGACTGCAAACAAGTTCTCTCAGAAATACACTTGTCTTAGTCTCGTGGTTGTTGTTAAGTGTCATCGAGTCAGTTCTGACTCATAGTGACCCTGTATAGGATTTCCGAGGAGCAGCTGGTGGGTTTGAACTGCCGACCTTGTGGTTTGCAGTCAGGTGCTGATCCTATAGCACCACACCGGGAATATATTAAAAAAAGGTGAGACACTTTTTGAGCCATGACAAAAATGATTTTCAGGTCAGCACTACTATCAGAATTTTAACAAAACTCAAGTGAACCTCTTGACAAGTCATTAAAGTTTTGCAACAAATTTATGGGAATGCTTCCTCATACAAAACAACAGTTTTGACATGGTTCAAGCATTTTAGGGAAGATCAGAAAGAAGATGAGTCAAGTGAGAGAAGACTGTCATCCTCAATGAATGAAGTCCAGAAATTGGTGGAAGAAGTCTATAGAATTCCCATTGACGTGAAAGCTACTGAAGTTGGAGTCTCAGATGGTTCTGAATTTTCTGTTTAAGTGAACATCTTGGCCTCAGCCAACTTTCTGCTAATGCGTGCAAGCATTGTGCACGAACATCAGGTAGCTCAAAGTGCTGATCTTTTCCATCAGTTTTTAACTAATAGCAAAGCGAATGAAGATGATTTTATGGAATGAATTATAACCAGGGATGAGTCTTGGGTGTACCAATATGATCCAGAGAGCAAGGTTCAATCAAAATAGTGGCTTCTGTGGGCATCTGTTGGGCCACTTCCATTTAAGACAGAATATTAGGGTGATCCCAAAGGGTTAATCTAGATAGATTTTTGTCTAAGGACTCTAAGAATGATGATAGAGCTTCTTATGCTAAGGAACTTTGTTTTCCCACCACAATGCCCCTGCTCATATTTTTGTGAACAGCAAAGGCTGTCTGTCCTAAAAGAATTTTATTGAAAAATCTTAGCCGATCCATCCACCTTACAGTCCTGGTTTTGCACCTTCAGATTTCATTTTGTTCCCCAAACTTAAAAGAATATGTAAGAGGGACAGAATTTGAGCTCTCTGAGGATGTCAAAACTGCCATTTTTACGAGGTGCAAATTGAAGAGTACTGAATTCCTCAGGGAAGGGTTGCTGTTGTTAAGTGCCGTCAAGTTGATGCCGATCTATAGCGACCCTGTGTAGGGTTTCCCAGGAACGGCTGGTGGGTTTGAACCACCAACCTTGTGGTTCAAACTGACCTCACAGTCCAGCATATTATCCTGTGGTGTCACACCAGGACTCTAGGGAATGGTTGTTGTTGTTGTTGGTATATACCATGGAATTGGTCCTGATTCATAGTGACCCTGCATAGGATTTCCGAGGCTGTCATGGTGATGGTGTGCCGTGGAGTTGGTTTCGATTCACAGTGAAGCTGTAAATCTTTACAGGAGCAGAAATCTTCCTCTTTCTTCTGTGGAACAGTTGGTAGTTTCAAACAGTTAACCTTGAGGTTATCAGACCAACTCGTAACCACTATGCTAACCAGAGCTCCTTAGGAAAGGGTTAGAAAACTGGAAATGTCTTCAGAAGTATTTAGACCTAGATGGAGGATCTGCCGAGAACCAATAATTCCACATCTTCATATATTTGTTTAGTAACGTTTCCTATGATTAGGTGGCAGTACTTTTTTTTTTTAATAAATGTTTTATTGTGAATTGTGTGATAGTTTACATGGGAGAACATTAGTTTTACATTCATTCTATCATACATCGTTTCATTGCCATAGTTATCATCACCCAACCAAAGGGTATACCCTGCAAGCCTGCCCCCCGCCCCCCACGGTCCTCAGCACACAGCCCCTTTTCCTCTCTGGATCTAAAATCCCCAGCTGCTCCATCTCTCCACATCTTCATCTCTGCCTCCATCTCTGGCATCACTGTTTCCCTGGGTAGGGTCCTGCTCTCCGCTCTTCTCCCTTGATGGTCCCAGGGACCTTCGCTCCTAGACTGAAAAGTTAATCACTCCCCTCCCTGCTATAAAATGTTAGGTGGCAGTACTTTTTAACTTATTCTCATAGAAGCCTCTGTTAATATTTAGGTTATTTCCTCACCTCTTATAATAGATTTTTCGATTAAAGTATCTTTTGCCTAATAACAGTATGGCCACCCTTGCTCTGTTTTGGTTAGTATTTGCATAAAAGACTATTTTCCATACTTTCATTTTCAATTTATTTGAGTCTTTGGCCCCAAGATGGGCCTCTTGTAGACAGGCTATGGATAGGTCATGTTTCCTTACCCATTCTGCCACTCTCTGCTATTTACATTTAAGATAATTATTAATATGGATGAAGCGACTTCTGTGGTTTTGTTATTTGTTTCTGTGTCTCATCATTTCTTCGTCCAACTTTTCTTGGAATTTTATCATTATATACATTAAGTTGTTTCTTGTACTGAGTTTGGTTTCTTCCTTCTTAACTTTTGTGTAGCATTTTCTTAGTTGTTATTGTTGTTGGGTGGCATCGAGTTTGTATCGACTCATAGCAACCCTACACACAACAGAACAAAACACTGCCTGGTCCTGGGCCAAGGTCACAGTTGTTGCCACACTTGAGCCCATTGATGCTGCCACTTTTCCAATCCATCTCACTGAGGGTCTTCCTGTTTTTCTTTGACCTTACCAAACATGATATCCTTCTCTAGCAACTGGTCCCTCCTGACAATATGTCTGAAGTATGAGAGATGAAGTTTGGCCATCCTGGCCTCCAAGGGACACTCTTGGCTGAACTTCTTCCAACACAGATCTGTTGGTTCTATGGGCTTGGGTCAGGTGCACCTTAGTCCTCAAGCTGACATCTTTGCTCTTCAACACATTAAAAAGATCTTGTGCAGAAGATTTGCCTAATGCAATACATCGTTTGATTTCTTGATGGAAGTGCCTTTTCCCCAAGTATTCTAGACTCATTGGAGGCTTTTCATTAACACCTTGTTTCTCTGGACACATTTGGGGCACAACATATTGTCCTCCAGGTGTAGAGGTGGAAAATTGCATGCAGGTAACAAGAAGAGAGCGTGGCACACTCTCCCTGGCTTTTCAGGACTCCAGATTTGTCGGCATGAAACTGTAGTTGAACCCAACCATC